TACCAAAAAACAACACAGTGTTTCAGAAACGGTGTTCTACTCGTTGATCTAATTATTCTGTTCTTACTCCTATAAAATGGAAACATTAATTTAAGTTTGACAATATGATTTATCCACACATTCTGAATACAGTAATAGAATGAACATGGTATTTTTAAAAACAATTTTGAATGAAGACTGTAAAATTTAAACTCTACATAGAAAAACGTTTTGATTGAACTTCAGAGAATATGTCTATAAAGTGTTGTCACTTCTAATTTTAGATACTTGCAGGGAGAACAATATTTGCACTTAAAGCTTGTATGTACTGTAGAATCATTGCACATGTCAATGTCAATAAAAAAATATTTATATAGCATGTAAAAACAGAAAAAGCTGAACAAAGTGCTTTGTAGTCAAATTAAAATGAAAATGACAGGAACAAAAGACAAATACATCTTGTGCCACTCAGGAAAAACAAGAAAGTTAACAATGAAATACAACACACAACAGCAAGAAAAATCAGGTATAACTACTATTATACAAATATACGTGTAACTGTATTTTAACTTGCTGCAGTTATTAAAACCCAATACTGTATGGGATTTTTTTTAAATAAAACCCTGTAATAGATTTGCAGCCTGAGAAGTAAAGTTTTTTTTTCCTTTGTCTTTTTTATCTTGTTTTCCACATGAATGTAATTTTATTTTATTTTCATTGTGCATATGCTAATCTTTAAAGACATGAAATTATCCTTAAAAGTTCTGTAACGTATTTTTACAAAATTATAATGTCCACAATTATTAGTAGTCTATTGCAGGGCTTAATTTGTAAACTGATCGGTGCTGGAACACAGATACTAGGCGGGGGGTGGGGGGCAGGGTGAAAGCCCGGGGGACGTTGAGGGGGCTTGTGGTTCCTCCTCCCCCTTATTTAAAAAAAAAATAGATGTTATTTCCTGCATTTTGGTGTAGCATATTTTAATGGGTTGTTAAACGTCTGTTTACCTACATTTGTAAGCATTTGAGTCAATTACTATTGTAGAGAGCAACAACAGGTTGTGTGTGAATAGAGCAGCTTCGATTCTGTCAACCGTCCTACCCCCTGCCCCCACTTCATGTTTCTGCGTCAAACTCTTCTCCGCTGACAACAAAGTTCCAAATCCAATAATTATCAATCAGGTCATCTGAACAGTTTATTTTTTATAGAAACGTTTTGCCTTCTATCCAGAGGGCTTCATCAGTCTGAGGAGTTCCAGTAAACTGTTTCCCCACCAAGCAGTAAACTCCTTAAGTGGACCAACCAGTTTGCTCGAGCTAAGATGGCTCCAGATTTGAGATTTGAGTTGTCGGATCCAAGCAAACGGTTGCCGAAACGCACCCGGTCAAAATGAGAGAGTTCCCGGATCTTGTTCCTGCAGGATCCAGCTCAAATTAAACACTGAATACTTCTTTTTTTTACAAGTATTAGCCAGAAACCTTCCTATTACATTTTTAGTTTAAATTATGTTAAACAATTTTCCTTCTAAAGATCATTTTGTAAGTCTATACCAAATTATGCCTTTTACATCATTTAATGTTATAAAGTGCTATCTTTCCTTCTCTTTTCATGGAAAACATAATTTCCCCAGACTTTTCACTCTGACTTGTATTGATGTGTTTAATCAAATGATTTATTCTGAAAAATATTTCCCTGTGATATTCTCCATCTGTCATAAAAATAACAAAATAAATGTGGTTTGATCATTAGGTACCACCATGGGCAGATGCAGCGCATGGAGATGAGATCCCATATGTGTTTGGGCTGCCAATGATTGGACCCACAGAACTCTTTCCTTGCAACTTCTCCAAGAATGATGTGATGCTAAGTGCTGTAGTTATGACCTACTGGACAAACTTCGCCAAAACAGGGTATGAAGATAATTGAAATGTTTCCATTGCTCTTCACTTTTTATATGAAGCTGAATAACCTGAGTTTAAAACGCATAAAAGGGCATCCATCTTTTGAAATTGAAACTTCAGTAACTTAAGGTAGTCCATGTGCTGTTTGTTTCAGTGAGAATGTAGTGTATTTATCATCATGTAGTATAGCAACATTTTAGTTTAACATTTAAACTCAGTATTGGTTGCATGATATTAGAAAATGTTATGATAATTTCTAAATTTTTACGTACTCCAAATAAATAAAAAAATAACTCCTATTTTATTTGACAATTAATTAAAGTCAAAGAAAATAGGAAAGTTGTTTCTGTTTTAATACTTGTATGTTACATATTAGGGCATAATAAAAAAACGATCTGTTCTTCAAATGATCTGGCCTTAGATGTAGCTTCAAGTTTGGATCAAACTGGGTCATGGTGCAACAGGACAATGATCATAAACACAACAACAAATATACAGCAGAATGGCTTAACAAGAAAGAATCCAAGGTACTGCAATGGTCCAGTCAAAGTCAGACCTCAACCTGATTGAATCTCTCGCAGATTGAACTTCTCATCCTATTTCTAAGGGAGGTTCAGCAACCCTGTAGAGAAAACTCATTTTGACAGCTTATATTTGCATTTGTGTTCTTTTGGTAACTACAAAGAGTTCATTACCATAGATGACGGTATGGACATTAAGTGATGGGTTAACGGAAAACTTTGCCATGCAGCTCAGCTCTATATTCACCGCAACAAACCAGAACAGTTTACACAGTACTGTGGAAGAATCGCCAATCCATCTGTCATTCTCATTCCCTAATTTCTAATTCATGACCAAAACCCTGAGATATTTAAACTTTTCCACTTGAGACATACGTGGTCAAATGTCTCCATACCAAAAAAACTAAAAACATAGAGACTGGTTGTGCAAACTTCATTGCCCCCTTGAGAACCCTAGCAACAGTAAAGAGCTGATACAGTGTTCCATGACATGAACATTACCGGCATTGATCCTCCTGACTCTGAGGTCCAACCATTAACAATCTTGTATCCAGCGTTCATGAAAATATCTTATCAGGGAGAATGAGGAATTTGATTCTCCTGTAATTAGAACACACCTTCTGCTGCCCTTTCTTGAGAAAACATTATTGCAAAGACATGCTAACCAAGATATCAGAGCAAGATCTAGAGCCTTTAGCAACTTGGGGCGGATCATGTCAACATTCAATGTGCTGCCTTCATAAATATTTAAAATTATGTCACCAACTTCACTCATGGTTATGGGCTGACCAACCCCAAAGACCCCAGACTTGGCTTCCTTTCTGCTGCCCCCTACTCTGATGGGTTTTTCCATCAAGCATTCCCTGAGCCGACTCAAGAATTGTTGAATGTATATCTACAACCACATCCATCCATCCATCCATCCATCCATCCATCCATCCATCCATCCATCCATTATCTTCTGCTTGCTCTGAAGTCAGGTCGTGGGAGCAGCAGTTTGTGCAGGGAGGCCCTAAAATCTCTTTCCACAGCCACCTCTTTCAGCTCTTCTGGGAGGACCCCAGGGTGTTCACAGGCCAACTGAGAGACATAGTCTCTCTAGCACAGGGGTCTGCAATGTGCAGCTCTGGAGACACATGCAGCTCTTTGGTCCCTCTGTAGGGGCTCTTTCAAGTTTTCAAGTGTCGACCAAAACTGACATAAAACTGAATTTCATTGTTTATACAAACAACAAAAAAGTATTAGTTCAAACAGATTTACTGTCATTTCTTTTGCAAATATGTGAACAGTGGAGTGAGTACAAGAAACATACTTTAACCTGATGCTTTATTTCTTTATATGAAAAAATGTCTGCATAGTTTATAGATCTTTTAATTAAAAAAATGGTAAAAAACTGATTTTTTCCCCCTTCTTTACAATAATCTGGTCTTTTTCTTTAATACATGTTAATAATCATTAGATAGTTTTTGATTTATAATATCACCCTTATTGGCATAAGTCCCCTCCAGCAAACCTTAAGTGGCCCGTGGGCCACCAGTTGATAACCACAGCTGTATCATGTTGTTGCGGCTCCAGACACATTTAAATGTAGTGAACGAAGGCATAAAAATGGCTCTTTTGATCGTAAAGATTGCAGACCCCTGCTCTAGTGTGTCCTTGGTCTTCCCTGGGGTCTTCTCTCAGTTGAACATGTCTGAAGCTCCTCCCAAGGAAGGTGCACAAACCACCTGAACTGGATCCTCTCAATGTGGAGGAGCAGCGGTTATATTCTGAGTCTCTCCTTGATAACTGAACTTCTCAGCTACTCTGCAGAGGAAACTAATTTCAACCACTTGTATCCACATTATCATTCTTCCGGTCACTACCCAGGGTTTGAGGCCATAGGTGATGGTAGGAAAGTAGACTGACCAGTAAACAGATAGCTTTGCCATAAAGCTCAGCTCCCTCTTCACTACAGCTGACCGACACAGAGTCCGCAATACTGTAGACACTGCACCAATCCATCTGTCAATATCAAGCTCTTTTCTTTTCTCACTCTTGAACTAAACCCCAACATAATTGAACTCCTCCAGTTGAGGCAGAAGCTCACCCTCAACCTAAAGAGAGCAAGCTACTCTCTTCCAACTGAGGACTATGGCCTTAGATTTGGAGGTGCTGATTCTCATCCCAGCCATTTCAAACGCAACTTGGAACCGGTCCAGTGAGAACTAAAAATTATGGCACCATGACGCCAACAGGACCACACCATCTGCAAAGAGCAGACAAGGAATACAATGAAGCCATTGAATGAGACTTCCTCCAGCCCCTGACTATACTGAGAAATTATGTCCATAAAAGTTATGAACAGAATTGATGGCAACAGGCAACCCTGGCAGAGTCCAACTCCCACACTGAGGGGTCCGACTTACTACCAGCAATGCGAACCAAACTCTCACACCGCTTGAATAGGGACCAAACAGCCCATAGCAATGGGCCCACAATCCCATACTCGCAGATCACCCTCCACAGTGTACCCCAAGAAATACTGTCAAATGCTTTCTCCAAGTCCACAAAATACAGACTGTTTAGACTGGATGGGCAAACTCCCATGACCCGTCGAGGACCCTAATGAGGGTAAAGAGCTGGTCCATTGTTCAACGGCCAGGACAAAACCTGCATTGTTCCTCCTGGATCTGAGGTTCGACCAACGATCTGACTCACTTCTTCAGTACCCCTGAATAGACCTTATCAGGGAGGCTAAGGAGAGTGATGTCATTATAATTGGAGCACACCCTCTGTCCTCCTTTTTGAAGAGGGGATCCACCACCCCAGTCTGCCAATCCAATGGCACTGCTCCCGATGTCCATGCGATCTTGCAAAGGTGTGTCAACCAAGACAGCCCCACAACATCCAGATCCTTAAGGAAATCAGGGCAGATTTCATCCACCCCTGGAGCCCTCCCGCCACAGAGCTTTGTAACTACTTTAGTGACCTCAGCCACAGTTATGAACAGACCAACCTCAAAATCCCCCGACTCAGTTTCCTCCATGGAAAACGTGCCGATGGTATTGAGAAAGTCCGAGAAGTATTCCTTCCACCTCCCAGTGACATCACTGGTTGTGTTAGTAAAGCGCTGCTTTCCCCTCCTCCACTGGTTTGCCAGGATCTCCTTGGCGCCAACCGAGAGTCTCTATCTAAAGTCTCATCAAACTCCTCCCACATCTGAGCTTTTGCCTGAACAAGAGTCAAAGCTACAGACTGCTTAACCCTCCAGTACACCTCAGCTGCCTCCAGAGTCCCACCAGCCAACAAGGCCTGATAAGGCTCCTTCTTCAGCTTGATAGCTTCCCTAACCCGGGGTGTTTCCCACCGAGTTTGTGGACGGCCACTACGAGAAGCTATGATCTACAAGTTACAGTCTTAGTGAACACAAAATGTCACAGTTAATGTTACAGATATTTAGCTAACTTCAATGTTGTAGGAATATATAGCCATGCCCAACACATCTCGCACAATCTCAAATATTGCATAGATTTGCACATTACGCCCATCCATCCATCTATCAACTTTACCCACTTCATTTTTTCTGGCTTGTGTGGGTCACTGGTGCCCATCTTCAGCAGTCACTGTGTAAGGTGTGGAGTACAACAGGTTCCAAGTCCATCAAAGGGCCACATAGAGACATAATTTTCAATATTTTAACAAATAAGCTGCAACACCAACCTCATGTGGTAGTTTTATTATAGCTTAAAACCCGAGCTTAAAAGATTGCAGGCCATGTAACGCCTTTATTTTAGTTTTCTTTATCTACAAATTCAGTCATTATATGTAAAAACCACATGTTTTAACTGGACAGAGAAAGGCATAGCCTCAGTGTTTAAAGATATTTTTGGTCTCAATTTTATTTTCTTAAAATACCTCTTCACTCCCTATAAATCTGTATTAATTGTGTTTTCTTTCTTAAGGTGTGGGAAAATTATAATTAAAAAACATAATAATATATATGATCTCGACAAAATAAAAACATCAAAATAAAGATGTCATTAATTATAAAAGATCTGTTGCAAGGATCATTCATACAACATGCAATTAGTATTACAGCACAATGAACAAGTCAATCATTTCAGTATAATTGTTTCCTCAATATCACACTCCATTTGATGACTGTAGGAGTAGTGAATTGGGCTGCTGGGTTTTATAGATTGTACAGTGTGTAATTGATATTCTTTGCACATACCCTCTTCGTATCTTCAAATGCATTATTAATTAATGGTCGTAGGCTGCTCTTTATGGAATAAAATTAAAATTCCCTTTTCTACCTCTCCCTCATGTTGCCTTCAAGCATGTAGTCATTGTGGTAATTGTTTTTCTGAGGCATAATAGGGGGACATTGAATTTTTTTCTATGCCCTGCCCAGTTACCCTGAGGGGAACAGAAAGGGACTAATGATCTACATCTATTACCTCAAATTGACGTGGATTGCTGGGTACCTGGGAGATTTATGCCACCCATTTGAATGGCTAAGCGTGTTCCTGATGAGGTTTGGCTGGCTTCATATGCCTCTCTTAGACAATGGGGCACTCGTTACATGTGAATGGGCTTCTACAGCACACAGGGCCAGCCGGCTCTGTTCAGCTCAGATTAGGTGCAAGTCTATAGTATTGTATTCCATGCAGAATGTTGTTCGGAAGCTCATATGTTTGATTTAAAAAAAAAAAAAGCTCACATGAAATGTTAACACTCTTTGGTTTTATACCAGCAGTCTAACATCTAACAAAGTAATATAAACCACAATATGAATAAACATTTCTTAGTTTTAAAATAGCAAAATAGACCCAAATACTTTAAGGAAATGACCATCATCTTCACCCAAACATAAGCTAGAAGCATTTATAATTTATGTTAAAGATAGGTTCACTTCAAAGGAGAGATCAGAGTTTATCACATAGCATGAAGTATGTTTTCTTTTCTGGTTTTTATTTTGGTAACATATCCAACCAGAAAGACAAAGTCCTCAGCCTCCATAAGATCTTTCCATTAATCTTTAACAAAATCAATAATTTCTTAGTAATAGCACATGTTTGATGTTTCTAATGGGTTTCCAGGTGTGCTGTCTCAGACAACATTGATTAAAACCTTGTGAAACCCGGGGGCTGCATTTCTCAACTATATTCTAGTATTTTCATAATTATACTGATTAGCTTAAGGCATATGTTGCACTTGGGTCAAATTTTTAAATTTCGTAATCGGCTTAATTTGTTTCAGAACGCCCACTAAACTTTTGACTTTGGCTTTAGTTCTTCCTGTAACCTTTGGTAATTGGTTGAACCTTTATGGGAACTTAAGAACTATCCAGTGGAAAACTGAGAACTTCTGTACTTTCTGCTGTAGTGGTTCAAATTAATTTAATTTGTGAGTTCTTTTTCTATGCTAAAACCACAAGCACCTAATACCTCTAAATTATTTCACACCTGGTTTTCCTCCTTTTCCCTTTCTTTCCTTTTCTTTCGTTCTGTCCTCCCTTCACTGGCTCCCTGTTCCTATGAGGATAGTTTTTAAAATTCTTCTGCTGACCTTCAAATGCCTGAATGGCTTCGCACCCCTTTACCTCTCTGAGCTTCTGGAACCTTACGTTCCCTCTCGGGCCCTGAGATCATCCGATCAGCTGCTTTTGGCTGTTCCAAAAACAAGACTGAAACTCAGAGGAGATCGGGCTTTTTCAGTCATGGGCCCCAAACTCTGGAACAACCTGCCCCCCAACATCAGGCAGGCCACCTCCCTTCCTCACTTCAAATCCCTGCTGAAAACACATCTGTTCTCTCAGGCATTTCATACAGTGTAAATTGATCTAGTGTTTTTTAATCTGTGACCCTATGTTTTAAATTGCTTTTTATTAATTCTTCACTTATTATTATTAGTGTATTGTATATATATGTTTCTCTTTAATTTACTAATTGATTGTTATTGTTGTTGTTGTTAAGCACTTTGATAACAGGTTCTGTTTTAAATGTGCTCTATAAATAAAGTTGACTTGACTTTCTACGCAGGGACCCAAACCAACCTGTCCCCCAGGATACCAAGTTCATCCACACAAAGCCCAATCGTTTTGAGGAGGTGGCATGGACACGCTACAACCAGAAAGACCAGCTATACCTGCACATTGGCCTGAAACCTCGAGTCAAAGAGCATTATCGGGCTAACAAGGTACACGTTTCTGTGTTGAGGTTTCAGTTGTCAAACCAAATTTAAAGTAGGGGTACTCAAAAATATCAGTCAACGATAAAAAAAGAAGTGCTTCATTAAGTTGTAAGCACTTATTAAACTATATTAAAAACATACTAATGTATTCTTGTCACCTTTATCTGTCCTCTCGTCTCACTGTTAATTTAATTTTCTGTGTCCAACATATCTGATACAGGTTACCTGCATGTAGAACATTAGTGCATACAAAGTTCTTTTTTGGGTTTTAAGGTAGTTATTGTTTTTTTTGTTTGTTTGTTTGTTTGTTTATTTGTCCGTTTGTTTTTTTGGTTAAAAAAATGTGTGACTAGCAAAAATTACAATTCCCTGAATAAATTACAATGCTCCATGTTGCTAACCAGTAATTCTGTTTTGATATGAACAATGTTTTATAACTGTTTGATAAATGCTTTAGTAAGTGTTTACAAACAAATGACCATTTCATGAAGCATTCATACATCTTTAATAACTACTGTCATTGGAAAGTACTATGAACTTTAACACTTTCACTTCTGAATGTAGGATGCTTTTAATGAGCTGTCTCATTTTTAATTTGTTATAAATGACTGTTAAACTGAGCAAGAAAGTTTTAAGGATATTGGATCATGTTCTCAGAAGCCCTGCTGGTTGGTCCTGATTGGTCAGTCAGGTCACAATTTGACTCGTTGGTGACTTTAAAAAAATAGAATAAAATTGCCAATTTACTTTCACTTGTTATTCCATTACAAATAAATATCCAAAAAATACTGTTTTTCCAAAATACTAGTTTATATTTTTTTTAGCATTCAAGCATTTTTAATCTTGATTGATTATTTCCCACATATGTAACAATCCTTTTTTCTCAGAAAGATGTTTTAAAATGCTTTATTGTTTAAGTATAATGAGCTCTGTAATACTGTAGCACATACCTTGACAAGGTGCAACAAACAGCTGCAAGAGTGAATGAAAAAAATCTGTTCTTTCAGTTATTTCCCTGGAAGGCTCTATAGTTATAACCTTTTTATTTCTTTAGTTTAATCTTTACTTTTTGTGTAACCAACATACAGTATATCTGTTTTTGTACCCTACAGTCATCCCATAATTTTTCAGTCAACCTTTATTTATAACAGGTTAGTCTCATTGAGTCATGAGGACTCATTTACAAGAGAGACCTGTTATATTGACTGCAGAAAGTTCTTCTCAAGAGTGTGTTTTTAATTTTTTTTAATGTCTTTTCATGTTTTTAATTTCTGCCCATTGCTCAGGTCAACTTATGGTTGGAGTTGGTTCCTCATCTACACAGCCTAAATGAAGTCACGCAGCCCATCCCAACCACTACCAAGGTTGGTACCAAATCATGGATGTCTTGTTGATGCCTCTACCAAAAGTTTTTGTCAACACAAGCTACTTAAACCAGAACTCATTTAACACTAGATTCAGTAGTTTCTGATTTATGGCTACAAGTGTAGAAAAAAAATGTGCATATTTTAGGTGTGGTCGAAAAAGAACCTCTGGAATATTTATGACTGAGTACATTTGCTCATACAAGATGTTCACTTTGGTTTCCCTGTGCTACTCAAACATTTTAAATTAAATTAAGAATTTCACACATTCAAAAATATATATTTTATGTCCGCTCCATAAACAGGATCTGTTCAGAGAGAGAGGTAGTTGTACACTCTGCATCAGCACCTGGAGGAACATATGCACCGACAAGATGAATAAAATGAGCTCACAGAGGGAGGAAATGGTTTCCAGGTCAGGTGAACGGTGCTACTGGATCACTGTCACATCAGGACACCAGCCATCATTGATGTGAAAACAGATGCCTCCACCTATCGCTTCATTACACATTTATTCACTTCACAGAGACGTGGCTGTGTAAACGGACTCTGCTGCAGCAACAAGGCTGCCTGCCTTACTGAGATGTGGTTACATTTCACTGGACAGCTCCATGATCTGGTCCACTCTGGGGAGCCCAATACCTGCAGCTCAGTCTGGTACCGGCTTACACAGCCATGTCTGTGTGAAACACAAAATGGATAAAGAAGAAAAAAAGTTTTTTTTTCTCTCCCATTAACAGTTTAAGCATGCCCATTTTGTTGCTCAGTGAGCAAACATTGGAAAGAAACATCCTTTTCGCCTCCTCTGAGGCGACCAGAGGAACCACTTTGGCCATGGCTGCCTCAGAGGAGTCAACGGGGGAGAGGGTGGACTCCAGAAACCATCTTATCACTATCGAACTGGTTGGCCCACTATGTGAGTGTGCCGCTTGTGGGATTGAGTTTGTTGCAGCTCCTCAGACTGATGAAGTCCTTTGGATGAAAGATGAAACATTTCAACACAAAGAATCCGTCCAGAGGACCTGACTTAACTTTGTTGGATTTTTCACCTGGATTATTGAGCGTGAACTTTTGAAGGATATTTCCACAAAATTGCTATGCTTTCCAGCAACGACTATAAGTTAGGTTCTAAGAAAGGAATCCACAAAGGCTGGGCTGTGACTGCAAAGGTGTCACAACCATTATATGTGAAGGGAACATGTCCTCCCCACATAAAAAAAAAAAACCGTTCATTCCACCCCCCCCCCCCCCCACACACACACACACACACACACTTTTACTATGAAACATTAGTTCAGGCGGCGCAGTTTCTATTTCTTTGTGAACAAATCCATTCCACTTGATTAAAAAGAGAATACTCAAACCACTAAAACTCCAGTCCAGGTTTTCCTGGTCACCTCCAACTCTCCACACAGAGCAGAAACTGTTCAGGCAGCAGCTGCTTAGTCACCTGCCTCGGCAGAAAATGCGCACAGAGGGAGTAGATGGAGACACCTCTGTGCTGCTCGCTCACCAGCTTAGCGAGCTTAGTGCGGGCAGTTGTTGACCGGGGGTGGGGGGTGGGGGTTTAATCATAAACATATATACATGGTTAGGAGGATGCTTGAGAGAAGTGGAGTGCTACGTCTGTAGCATCTTAGCTCAGTAACTGTGAGGCTGTGAGACGCTGCAGGTGTAGGAGACGCTGTGTGTTCAGGTGCAATAAAGTTGAAATGTCTTTAAAACGCCACTCCTTATTGTCCTCAAGCTTGGTGAGAAACATCATTTAGATGAGTAGTGTTGAACACAAGTAAAAAAGTCTTGTGGTGATGTGTTTTATTTCTCTATAAAGACAAATAGTGCTGAGCTGACGTATTAAAGTTAAAATGTCTTTAAAACCCACAGCTGAATTTACACAAACTTGGTGAGAAACATGCTTTAAATGTGTGGAATTAATGGAAATCTAGGTGAAATTCTGCTTTTTTTGTACACTAGTGTACACTTTTTTTACGTGCGCGCACACACACCTACGCACATCGTGTCCCCCCCACATTACGGATGCTTCTGATGCCCTTGGTTTACTGTATTATTTTATCAGCCATTTGATAATAAAGTGCAAGTGCATAGACGAAACAATTATTTGTAAAAGTGAGCCGCAATTTCACAATTAAACACAGTAAACATTTTTAATATTTAATCTATTAAAAAAAGTACTAATTTTGTGGAAACAATGTGGTGATATTGAATTTGTCTGATGTAGGATTCTATCTGTTCAACACTACATAAATGTTTACTTATACATAAATTCACAGAATATTTTTGATGGTCAGGCTTTAAAAGGTTAAAAAATATTAGTTATGCAACAAGCTAAAAAGAAACATTTGTGAAATAATTAACATAAGTTTTGTGTTTTCAGATCAGTGATGGAGATACTCAGAGGAAATTTATTATTATTATATATTTTTTTTTTTTTTTGTTATTTGCACAGACTCCTCCAAAGCAGACATGTTTCTCAATACATAGAGTAAAATTATGTATTGATCTGAATAATAACATAAAAAGCTGTTAAATGATAATTTATGAAACTTTTGAAAGGAAGACACTGAGATGGTATGATCCTATTAAAATAAAATTAAGGATTAAGGACATTGCTGGAGTTTTATTTTTTTATTTGCATTTCATTTGAGGATGAACGTTTATGTAAGCATGGCCATTTGTCGACTTATTTTTAAGAAATGGGACAGGTCATTTACAATTTTCATTTTCTATTTTTACTCAGTTTTATGTACCTTTTGTTATTTGTGGATTAACAGTAAAACTAGATAAGTGAAATGAATCAATGAAATAAAATACTGATCGCTGGTCTTCTGTCCACAGATTCCTCCACCGGAGGCCACTAACCGCACACCAAAGACCAAAGTTCTGGTGACCAAGCGGCCTAACCCAACTCCATTTCCCACTGAGACCCAGGACAGTCACAACCAGCCTCATCTTGTGGACCAGCGCGACTACTCCACAGAGCTGTCAGTGACCATAGCTGTGGGAGCCTCCCTGCTTTTTCTCAATATTCTAGCCTTTGCTGCTCTTTACTATAAAAAGGACAAGCGAAGGCACGATGTCCACAGGCGCTGTAGCCCCCAGCGGAGTGCTGCTAATGATCTGGCCCACACTCAGGAGGAGGAGATCATGTCCCTGCAGATGAAGCAGCACTCTGACCTGGACCGGGACTGCAGGGCAGTGGGAGACTCTCTGCACTCGCACGATGTAGTCCTGAGGACTGCTTGTCCACCAGACTACACCTTGGCCATGAGACGCTCCCCAGATGACATCCCGCTTATGACGCCAAACACCATAACTATGATCCCCAGCACCATGGGAGGACTCGCCTCACTTCACTCTTTTAACACCTTTCCCAACAATGGGCAGAACAACACCCTGCCTCACGCGCACCCACACTCACATTCCACCACCCGAGTATAGCCCACTGAATCAGCCAAGCAGGCCGGACTCTGAAGGCCCCGGTGGAAATCTAACGGTGCAGCCGTGCCACAGATCTGAGGCCGACTTGCCAACAAACACAAATCTGTCTGGAGCTGAAAAGCCAGCCTGGAGTTGCCAAACGCCCATGGGATTACACTGGGAATATACCACACCCTGTTAATACTAGAGGGAACATAGCGAAGGATTTCAAAGACTTTAAACAAGACGATTAAAAAAAAAGTTAGTTTTTTTTTTCTTTTTGTACAAAAGTTAAAGACACAAAAATACACACAAAGCGTGAGGGCAGAACAAGCTCCCACAAGCTAACAGAAAGAGGAGGATGTTTTTATTATTATTTTTGTTCTGATATTGCAGCAAAACAAGTAACAGTAAAACACTTTTTTCTCTCTAGTGACAGTTATGGCCTTTGGGATTTTTTTTGACAAACGACTGCTTGACAGTATTATCTAGAAGCAGAGCAGAGCATCAGACACGCCTTGGAGGTGAGAAGAGGGGAGCACTTTGTGAAGGAAAGAAAACATTGTTTTCCTTTGGCATTACTCTGCAGAATACTGTTTGTGGGGCACAAAACAGATGCTGTGCAAACCAATTTAGGCATGTCTAAACATCATAAACGGAGGCTATGTAAGATAAGGCAAAAGCAGCTGTTGAAAAGAGCCAAGGGATTGCTGGAAATCAAGAAAAAGAGACTATGTTTGCACAACAAAACCATTTTGAGAGTTTGGAATAAACTGACAAATACTTTTCATCCATTTATTTTTGATTGGGAACAATTTTATTGTATAGAACCTATTTACATATCCAGATCTATACACTAAGCACCAAGGCTGTTAACGCCCTCTTCTCTTGGGAGGGGTGTCCATACTGCAAACCTGCCAGTTAGGACAGAAATAGGAGACGGTAAGGATGCACGGACTGACTTTCTGGCAGTTCCAACTTCAACACAGAGAGCTGAGGGACAAAGGATAATTGGGATATTTTAGCACGACGCGCATGACAATTTATCTGCTTGATGGCTGCTCTGCTGATTACGTCATTAATAAGAATAATTTTCATCTCGTCCCTCGCATCGGAGAAATTCAAGATGCACTTCCTTATTGGATTACAAGAAAACACACACCCTTGCAGGACCGCGGGAAATGCAGTCTGGGTTGTGGACGTAGTGGGCCGGATTATTTGGAAACAGAAAAGGTCAGGGTTAGGAATATGGAAACCCTTGTTTCATAACATAAAATAGCTTGAGTGGGCTGAGCATATAAGGACTAGTTTTGTACTCTGTGTGTTGGTACTACTTTTGATAGTGGTTAAATCACATTACATTGTATCAATCAAACTCATTGTACCTTCAGTTGAGATCAATGTTCTTTGCTGTTCTGCCTATTGGAGCACTAGACCGTAACAAAGTAATTACCTGCACTGTTTATTCCATTGCCCTCCCAACCCTTTTCTTTTCTTTTGTTCTCGTTGACTTAAAGGTGTGTTGACTGAACAAAACATGGAGCCTTGATGGTAAGAAAAGTGGAGGGTGAAATGTGTGAAAAATGTGGTGGTGGAGAAATTCTCCAGGTGTTGCAGATTTCCTAATGATTTAAGCAAAGCTACACAAACATGAACACCTACACCGACTAACTCAGCCCCCCAGGATTGTGCGGGCTTTTTTATTATTATTATTGCTGCAACCTTTATTGTTTGTCCAACAAAGTTAAGTCAGGTCCTCTGGATGGTTTCTTTTTTTTTTTGAGACGTTTCACCCTCATCCAAAGGACTTCATCAGTCCAAGGAGCCCCGAACAAACTCAGCAAGCACAATCACATAGTGACCCAACCAGTTTGCTTGTGACAAGATGGTTTCTGGAGCCCACCCTCTCCCCCATCAACTCCTCCGAGGCAGTGATAGACCAAGTGGTTCAAAACATCAAAGTTCATGCTCAATAATCCATGTAAAAATTCCAACAAAGTTAAGTCAGGTCCTCTGGATGGTTTCTTATTTGTTGAGACGTTTCATCTTCCATCCAAAAGACTTCATCTATCCAAGGAGTCGACAAGGGAAAGGGCGGGCCCCAGAAATCGTCTTATCACCATCAAACTGTTTGGTCCACTATGAGTGTGCTGCTTGTGTGACTGAGTTTGTTGTGGCTCCTCAGACTGATGAAGTTCTTTGGATGAAGGACAAAACGTCTCAACAACAATAACAACAACAAAAAAAGTGTCCAGATGACCTGACTTAACTTTGGTGGATTTTTTACCTGGATTATTGAGCATAAACTTAATCTTTGTTTGCTTTTTCAAAATTCCTTCAATTTATCAGGAAGTTGCAAAGTTTTGAAGCTTTTTATTTATTTATTTTTTTACAAACATATGAAGAACATATGAATTTACAAAAATGTCTGCAACTGTTTCACGCCTCATATTAAATGTGACACTTCCTCCCCCCAGCAAATGCTTTCCTCACTTCTGCCCACGTCATGGCTCATTTGACTGGAAATAAGCGTGCACAGCCATTCTCAGACGTGTAGCCACAGAAAAGTGCAATAGTTTTCACCTGGCTTTCATGTCTGGAAGCTGATTTGTGATTGATCAGATTTTCAGACAAAGCTGCAGAACTGAACCAAATTTAAAGACTAAATAAAATATGTTGGGATTAGTTGCAGTTGCAACATTGCAGCTTTCTGAAGGAACTGATATGAAATTAAAGCCAAGCAGACAGATGTCACTGGGTAGAAATGTAAAGCCAGTCTCAATTAGGGAAGAGTAATTCACCATTATTCACTTTTATGTATTTGTTTATGTTGTTTCATCTTTATTTACATTGAAAAAAATGAGGATGTCCTAGTCAGAGATACGTTGAGTGGCAAGTCTGTTATAAAAAGTGTCTCCTCTCCAACACGAGGCTGTCTGCTTTTCAAATATCTGTCACTACAAACTGTCAGTTCATCTCCAAAGGCGTTTTTATTTTTAGAAAAATATTTTACTCATCACTCATAATTTTGAATCAATAAGGATTCCTATGCAATCTTAATAAGTGTGGAATTTGATTTTAACATTTTTCAGGGGTGAATAAATATGAAAAAGTAAAACAGATTCTGTAAAAAAAAAAAATTGGGGGTGGGGGGGTGGGGGGGGGACTTTAGGCTATTATAAAATAAATATTTGATTATTTCAGCAATTGTGTAAAACAAATCAGAATATTGTTTACTAAACGTATAGAAACTGAAATGAGAAACAAGCAGAACTATTTGGCAGACACATGTTCACAAAAAAAATGTAAGATTATATAACCCATATATTGACAAAAAATATTTTGGGGAAAAAAGTTTAAACATAATATTTCCTGAGACTTGGAAATCAAACACTATTTATGTTAAAATAATCATTCTTTAAGTAACAAGGAATTTATGTATCTTGTGATACATTCAAACTTCAATGAAAACATGATTTGTCAACGGAATAAATCTTTCCCACGTCAATAACGTTTCATAAGTTAAGAGGAATGAAATTGGACAACTGTCAAACACTGTAAATTACAAATAATTTACAGATGTTCTTTAGTTAAACTGGGGGGGGGGGGGGGGGAATCAACAAAATCTTAAGATTTAAGTCTGAAAAATTCTAAAATGTAAAAAAGCACGAAGGAACCCTGGATTAACCAAAACCTGATTTGTTACCAGATACCGGTACATAGGTGTTTTTTTTCACCCAGCTGATTCCTCATGTCAACCTGAGCATAAAACCACCCTGATGTCACTGAGCTACACCCATCTGGTCTGATTAAATTACCAGAAGGAGCAGCAGTGACTACAGAAGTATGTCTTTTTAATCTCATCAGTAAAGTCTGTAACTCACTGGACTGTGACGTCTGCAAACCAGCTGGAGAACAGCATATTATGAGAAGCCCAAAAATGTTTTGTGATGTTTCCATGCTTCTTTATTTCCTCACTTGAGTCGCTCATAGTTGTGTCATTTGGAATTTGAACATGCAAAAAAAAAAAAAAGAAAACTTGTGTTGTCATGGGTGCCTCCAACCTGCCTCGAGTGCTGGAGCTGTATGTTGACACATGCACAGGAGCTCTATTGTACGAATTATGTCCAGGTCTAAAGTCACACGGATTATAAAAAAAAACAAAAACATTTGTTTAAAAAAAATTATATTTTATTTACAGTAGGTACATTAAATCCTAAACCAGGCCAAGGTGTTTGTAAAGTGGGCCCAGTTGAGTATGATGTGGGCAACAACATAATACGCCTGGAGTACAGTTCTGCAGCCTGTACACAAAACAAAGCTCTGATTTTGGCCATGCATTGCTGCACAGCTTGCTGGTCACTTGGTTGCAAAAACTCTGAAATAAGTGAGACTAGATTTGGAAATTTGACCATTTTCTCACTGTACTCAGCCAATTTTGTGACACCAGCTAATCTGCAACAGTTGCATCACACTGAGACACCAGCTTAAGGCACAGCTAATATATGAAAAGGGTCTGGATATTTTGATACCTAAAAAAAAAACTTTTATGAATAATACATTAATCTCACCAAAATGTTTCTAAGCAAGTTTTGTTTATAATGTCATGATTTTATGCTATCTGTTACATTTCTGTTTGGTTAATAAATAACTGATATTTCAATCAAAGGTAGTCAAACTTTTGGATGTATGAACAAGCTGGAAGCAGAGGGGCCTTTTCATAGCACCTTTGACTCAGTCATATCCTTTTAGCTGATATTCAAGAGGTATTGCTTTTCTTACCAGGGACTTTCATCTGTCTCATCTTTCCCACAGAGCTGACAGCTTGGGCTACTTAACAAAACAGCTCCCCTCACATCTGCGCCATCTTAAGTAGACCGCCTTCTGCCAAGGTGCCAGCTAACATCTTTAGGTCAGTGAAGCCTCAGTGTCTAACAATGTTAGCCACCGAGGAGAAATGAGTCATCCAGCAACACAGACTGCAGTCAAATCCTGCAGCTCCGAAGGTTTGAGTCACTGTGGGGGCAAAGTGGTGATCTTCAAAACACGCTGAGAAAAGAATGCCACTGATGACAAGCCTGAGCTTAGATACAGAAATCTGTGCTGAGGCAGAGAGGCTGCTTGTTAAACTGAAATGCTAGTCTCCCTGTTTGCCTTCCACTAAACTATAGATGTGGGGAGGCCTCTGATGTGAGAATACATCCTGCCCCTTTAGGCTCGTTCACAATCACTGTGCAGTTGCTTAAAGTAATGACTGTAGACTGCTGGTATCTCATATAAAGCTGCAGAAGACGAGCTAGATGGAACAATGAAATCATGTACGCTATTGGGAGACTTTTTAAAAATACTCTTTAAATTAAACAACCTAATTTTAAGTATGTGCGCCGAATGAACTAATCAGCAATGACTTCCTCTACCAAAGCCATTCCAGAGCTAAAAATACACATGTACTGCTCAGGACAGAGATCTTTTAAGGAAATTGTTCCTGGTGATTTCCATCCTGAATAGGGTCTCCCAAGGCAGA